TTCAGTGCTTTTAGTTTTGGTTCACTCCCAGCAAATACAATGTATTATTATTATGCAAATGCAGGTTTCATTTTTTTTTATAAAATTTTATATTGTAATAAGTTTTTCAATTATATTAATTAATAAAAAGTAATATTAATATCAAGTGCATAAAAGATATGCTTTATTTTAGGTATATCACTAATATAAAATTGATATACCTAATAAGAAGTATGTAGTCACATTAAACATATCACTAATATAATTCATTTTAATTATATAAATGACATACCTGAAATATCTAATATGAACTGTCACTCATACACTTGATTTTAAGTATATTAACGCGACGAGTATAATCGACTATTTCATTTCTCGTTTCGACCCTTCGTTTGTTGTAATATTTGTAAATCAAAAAAGCTAAGTTCTAACTAAATTTCCTGCTATGTATATACTACCCGTCGTTTATTTTTTAAGGTCAAACAAAGATGTAGAGATTCAAATTAGTCACTGACATTTAAACAATATTACATATACTTCAACCAATCAAGCTATATATATATATATATATATATATATATATATATTCAAATCCTTCTAGATTTGGAAGAATCAACTGCATGTAGAGAAGTTTTAAAGGTTTGTCATGTTTGCTGTGTCAAAAATTTAATATTCAAGTTAGAGACAGGAGAGGGCCCCAATTTGAAGGAGTGACAAATAAAAGTCATATTCAATTAAAAGCTTTTACCAACTTGCTTTCCCAAGTGGGCTGCCCCCAAATCAACCCTACTTTCTACTTTGGCATTTCCTCTTGATTGGCCCTTCTAGAACCTCAATACTACAACCTTTCTTTCTTTATTATTATTATCATCTTTTTTCTTGACTTGCACCAGAATTGAGACTCCACATGTTTTGACCTTATCCACACCTATTCTATTATTTTCATTTATCAGAATCTCAAATCATGAAATGAAAATTTGTATTCACCATATTTACTAAGACGTAGAAATAAAATTAATTTAGTAAAACTCATCTCAAATTCGGGGTCGCTTAAAAGGAGTCTTTAGACTATTCTCCTAAACTTAACCAATCTCATTCGACAAACYTTACAGATATACTCATGTTTTGATTAAAACACAAGAGCGATTATAGAGTTTTTAAAAATACTTAATTATTCAAATTTAAACTAAATGAAGTTAATAGGGTGGAGTCTAAAATTAAATAGAAAACCTCCAAATATTTTACAAAAAAGGTTTTGAAACCACTCTTAAACTTGAAATTGTTTCTAGAAGGAACTTAAAAAGGTTCCTCAAAAAAGTGGAATGCATGCATGAGACATAAATATTACAAATTTGGGAATTGAGATTTGAGATTTATTTTATTAACTAATTATTTATCTCTTTGATCTCTCCAACCTTCTGGAGGCCGCCAAGTTGGCCGCCGCCCACGTGAAACCCGCCTGCCAATGTGATTATCAAATTAAAGCAAGCYATGGTAATTTTTCCAATGTTAGAGATTTCAATTATTCAACTTTTAAAAAATTTCAAAAGCATAGCTCGTTGGGGATGCCATCTTTGAGGATTACTCGATGTATAAATAAGGTCAATATATCTATGTCGACACCAAGACTTTTGTTCGAAATCTAGGTATTAAAGCAATTCATTTGAAAACATTACTTTATTTTAAATGACGTAGGAAACATGTTTAAATATGCTATTAAAACAATAATTTAATGACATATAAGATTTTTATCGATAAATTTTAATAAAATTTTTATTTGGAATGACTTAATTGAGACTTGGTTATATATCAGGGGTCAAATTGAAAATCTGATAATTAAAAGATTAGGAATCATTTGGTATATGTAGCCTACTTTTTCGGATATCACTTTTTAATTTATATTTAAAACAAGAATCCATATTGTTTTGGTTAATGATATTAGTGGAAAAGTGTGACCTGGCAACTTAGCTAGGCTTTCTTTAAATATGGTATCAATATTGTTTTTGATGTAGAGAGGTGAGAGCTAGGAATTGGGAGAGATGGAGAAGAAGATTAAATGTACTTACATAAGAAATAGAAAAATATAACATATTATATATTAAAACTAAGCTTATATAAGTAATATAAGTAAAATGTATCCGTTTTCTTTTTCTACGAATTGTAAAAAAATAATTATTTTAGTTTTAGTCGTTATTAATTTTGTGGTAAATTATTTAACAAAGAGATATTGTAGCTTCGAAATGTGTATGTTAAATAGATGTAATGAGCGACATAAGATTTTTGTTTTGTTTTACTTTTCTTTTTAAGATAGCCATGTTAAGTTAATTAATTGTATATATTAACAATTTTTAAAAAGGACCATTTTAATATATATATATATCTGTTTTGTCCTATTATTTTATTTTGTTATTTTTAACCAAATTTATCTTAAAATAATTCAATTAATATTTTTTTGACCAGAAGAGCGAAAAAAGTTGAAGTATAATTTAATAGTAGTTTTGTTATTATATTCTTTTCGTTTAAAAAATGAATAAAGGTTTTGGTGCCATCACTTTCTAAACGTTGTCTCTTTGGCTCAATAATTCAGCTCTTTAAGATTTATTTTTGTTATCTTAAGTTTCTTCTTTTTTAATTATAATCATCAAACCCGCTGCCTGTCATGAGGCCTTTCCAATCTGTATTGCAAATTGGATTAAGTAAGTTGGTGTGCTGCGCCCCTGTTTTAATTCAATTTAATTTTGTTTTATTCTTTTGCATTACACGAATTTTCGATTTTGCCACGAAAGTATTAGCCACGAAAAACTAATTCGTCGAGCAAAGCTAATTATATCATGTTGAAGTATAAATTTTTGAGACAATAATAAATGTCTTATAGTTGAGTAAATTTAATTCATATATTGAATATGTAATACTTAGCCATTTGATTTGATTTATTGTTTGATATAAGATTGGTAAAATTGATTGGTTGAGAGCTTGAATTCATTTCCATTTAATTGGGCCAATTAATGAGCCTTATTGAACAACCTTCTTCTTTTAAATTATTTAGGGTTAGTGTTATAAATCTAGATCTAAACATAAAATATTTTAGAAAGTATACTTTTTTTTTTCTTTTTCTTATTATAATCAATTTAATTAGATTAAAATTTAACCTATAACTTAATTTCGAACAAAAGCTATTCGATATGAATTGGTTGAATCACTTAATCAAAGGATTTTTTTTAATATTGTTTTTAATTAAACTTATTTTTAAAATAATGCAGATTTATTAGAAAAGATGGAAAAAATGCAACTTTGAAAACTTATTTCAAAAATAATGCTGATGTAAAAAACGTGGGGCTAGACGACCATGTTTTCTCGCCCAGATGGTCGAGAGACGACCATCTGACGTGGAAACCGATCCCTTGAAGAGACGACCAAGCCCTACGTTTTTTACACGAGCATTATTTTTGGAATAAGTTTCCAAAGTTGCATTTTTTCCATCTTTTCTAATAAATCTGTATTATTTTAAAATAAGTTTAATTAAAAACAATATTAAAAAAAAAAATCCCTTAATCAAGTGTTGGGAAAAATATACTACTATACCCACTACAAATAGCTAACAATTATTCTAGTTCACCTCGATCAAAAGTCTCACAAGAAACCCTTTTCCTCTTCCCGTTGTTCAGCAAATCTCAAGTCCAAACAATACAATAAAGGAATAGAGAAAGCCTAGTAAATGACACAAAGATTTATACTGGTTAACCCAACTATGGTGTCGTCCAGTCTTCCACGATGTGCGAGTTCTACTATGATTCGCTCTACCAAAACTCTTTTTAGATGTCACAACAATGGTCACCTAGTTTTTAAGCACTACGCCAATAAGTACTTATGAATACAGGAATGAAAAACACCTTACCGTAACACGAATGGGTTACCATCTACCGACACCGCATTACAATTCGAACAACTCAATCTCCTTTAACTCTGCTCAGAACAGTGCTGGATGCCCACTTATTTTTCTGCTACTCAAAACCTAAAACGGCAAAAATCATTGTTTTATAATTCGCGGTAGCACTATCTCTAATGCCAGAGCGTTAGCCTCATCGACTAGAATGACTCTGCAGCCACTTCTTCAATCCTCTTTCATCCTTGCTTTATTACCTCTATTTTGGCTCTATAGTCTCAACAGCAATCTGATCCTTATCCCAATTTTAAAATGAGAGGAAATAATTTGAAAAATATATAATTACTCCTTTATTTTATTATTTGGAAAAAGTAATCAAATCGTGTGGACAAAAAGTGGATTTTCAATTTCTTGTTAAATTTTAGCCCAAGAAGAAAATTCGTAAGCAAATGATCACAAATACTGTCATATTATCCAAAAAGAAAAAAGCCCCGGGTAGTAAAGTCAATGATCGACAATTTGACCCAATTATATATTATCAAAAAAGTGACAAATAAATAATTACAAATATAGGAAACAATAGAACATATGTAAAGTTAGTCGTGCGAATTATGTAAATCAATTATCATCATATGAAATAAAAATATGCCTATTTAGCTTTTAAATTTAAAAACTCATTTTTGTTCGTGACATTATCATTTAATTAACAATAAGCCTAAGTAAAATTGAAATAAAAAATTTAAGATTGTTATTGAAATTTTTTATTAGAGGAAGAATTTCTTGTCGCATTTGTCTACGTAACGAACTTTGTCGTCTTCAGATTAAAATGTTGATAATAATAATAATATATTTCTCACTTTTTAAAAACCTAAACTAATAAAATCAAATCAAATCCTGTGGACAAAAAAGAGAATTTCCATTTTCCTTTTCAAGGAAAAAAAAAGTAAAAAGAAGTACCCCGGAAATAACACGTCCCTGACAAATCCAATTATTATCCAAATTGGAAGAAGCTCCCTCGAAATCACACCTCATCCGTGGGCCCCACCCGGACTATATCGAAATTCCAATTTTACCCCTCTCTCCTAAAAGTTCAACCCTTCCTCTCCCCTTCTCCGAACCTCCCCAGAAACCCCCTTTCTGAGGCCCTTTATAAACTCTCTTTCTTCACTCCCAATTTTCCACTCAAATTTCAAAATCATTCTCCGATTAATGGCTTCCATGGATGACGCTTCCACTTTGGATCTCATCAGTCAACATCTTCTCGGCGATTTCATCTCCATCGAAGCCTTCGCTTCCAATTTTAACCTCAACAATGGTGCTTCTTCGGATTTTAGGGTTTCTGAATCCACGCCCCAAATCAGCGCCGCCGCGTCCAAGGCGGCTCACCGCCGGCCGTCGCTGAACGTGGCGATTCCTCCCAAGAGCTACTCCGTCAAGTCGGCGGCGGCGGCGGAGGCGACTGATCAGTTCGATGTGAGTTCTGGGAGGCATTACAGGGGCGTCCGCCGGCGGCCGTGGGGAAAGTTCGCGGCGGAGATACGCGATCCGAACAAACGCGGCGCGCGTGTTTGGCTCGGAACTTACGACACCGCCATTGAAGCTGCGAAGGCTTACGACAGAGCTGCTTTCAAGATGAGGGGAAGTAAGGCGATTTTGAATTTCCCTCTCGAGGCCGGGAAGGAGATGGAGGAGCCACCGGTGGCGGCGATTGGCCGGAAAAGGAGGAGGGAAACTGAAACTGAGACTGAGACTGGACAAATAATGGAGAATAAGACGGTGAAGAAGGAGGAGTCGTCGGGAACAATGGAGATCGGCGAAACAGAACAAGAGCAGATTGCGGTTCCGGCGGCCGTTTGTCCGTTAACGCCGTCGTGTTGGGCGACGGTATGGGACAGTGATGTGAAGGGGATATTTAACGTGCCTCCGTTATCGCCGTTATCACCTTATCCCTTAATGGGATGTTCTCAACTCACAGTAATATAAAAAAATAATAATAATTAATTAGTTAATGTTCTTTAAAACTCGTCTAACTTTGTGATGGAGAACTTATGAGTCTTATCCAAGTTAATAAACGAGAAGAACACAAAAAAAAAAAAAAAAAATTGTGGTATTTGTTTATTGATTTATTGAATCAAAAATTGAAATTTGTTTATTCAACCATATGGAATATAAATGAGATGTGTTGTATTGTAGAGGTTAAATACCTAATATGAAAATTATTATATTATAAAGATCTTATGGGTTGGACTTTCTTCTAAGAATAATACAGTGCATTTAGAGAATAATGTTATTTGAGTTTGATATTGATTAATGGACTCGTAATAGTATTGTATTTATAAAAAATATTTTTAAAGACAAGAAACAAACGTCAAAAAAAGAGGAAAAAAAAACAAATAAATAGAAATTGATACACCACGTAAGGGTTTTCTTCTCTCGGAGGTTCGTGGATGTTTTTCATTGAACTACTAATTAAAGACTAATCTTGCATTAGTTCGAATTGTTGCTGATGAACATTCCTTTCGTTATTTATATGTTATTTTAGATTTTGCCATATCAATTTTCGATTCAAAATATTAATTAATGTTTGCTCAAAGCGTATTTCTGAAATATTCAGGAAAAGTCAATGAACTAAGGTGTTTTTGTGAGGCTTGAAAAAGTTTAAGGATATTTTTATAGTTTTGCCATTTGGTAAAATAATATTTAACCTAACGTTATTTATCTAAATTATTGTTGAACAATAAATATATTTTATAAATCTAGATTTGGCAAATTTTATTCTCAATGATTAAATACAAACCTTCGTATTTGCATCAATACATACTTCGAAACTCATTTCTCTACACACTCAAACTAATTAAAACATTTCAATTTTCTAAATAATAATAATAATAAGACATTTTAAGCTTGTCCGAATATTACACGTTTCCAAATTTTTTAATACGCATTCCATACAGAACTTCAAGAAATTACATTTATTTATTTATTTTTATTTCATTGGATCGATACTAGTGATTCCTATAGCTAAAGATTCATTGTTTGGGTTCAACAACATCGTGGCTAGCGCAAAGCTTGAACTGATGATCAATTAGACATTAAAATAGGTGGTACATAGGGTGGCATACGTTTACGTTTATGTATATATATGTGTGTGTTTTCGTATTTTATATTTTGTATGACAAATTGATAATATATCAATGATTAACCTATTAAATTAGTTTTAAAAGTACAATAAGGTCGTTTGTTTTTCGAGAATGTAGATATCTGACATCTTCAGATGTCTTGATTTTTAGATGTCCGACATCCTCATACGACCACATTAGTTTTATAGGAAAATTTATTAAAGATGTTCGAGAATATTTGGATAACCACGTCGTTTTATCGGATTTATTCTTGTGAATGTTGTAAATTTATGTGATATTCCAAAAATGCCCTTACTAATATTTCGATATATTTTATACATTATTTTAATATAATTTATATTTATATAATAGATTTGTTTTTATTAATTTAATATTTTTTTTATATTAATTCTACATATATTAATTTTTGTATACTATGTTGTAGAATTGATTTGTTGAGAAGGTGGCGCTTGCCAAATGGATACGGAGACATGTTAGTGAGAGTACTACCTGATGGAAGAAAGGCCCCTTTTTGGGGATCAAGTTCCCGGCCTGGGACGCGTTCAAGTATCTCCACAATGGTATGATATTATCTATTTTAGGCATAGCCCTCTCAACTTTACTTTTGATTTCATCCGACAGACCTCACACCAATGGACATAATTGTCCTCTGTTATACATCCATGATCATTTCTTTTTCTGTGAGACTTTGTTTGCACTCTCGTTATAAATCCAATACTTCTCTCTAACGAAAGATCTGTTTGGGAACAATTAAACTCTTCCGTTGATTTTAATTACGAGGTCATTTGGGAGGATAGCTATACTAAAAAGGTCAAATTCTTCCTTAGAGAAAAGCCTTTTAACTTCAAAGAAGATTGCCTTTCATGGGTATATCTATCCAAATCCTCTTCGTCACTTGTAGCTTGGAGGGCAACTTGTGGAACCACATTTGCATTTGCCTTTAAAAGCTGGAAGGGAAAAGAAGCTCATTTGGATGAATTTTGTTAGAGATTTCATTTAGAACATTTGACGAATTACATAATCTTCAAAAGACAAGGAGCGCTCCTTTATTATTATTATTATTATTATTATTATTATTATTATTATTATTTTATGACATAGTCTTACTAATTATATCCAAGGTCCATTACAATAGCTTTTCGAATTTATTATCCAATTAGAAACTCATTTTTAACTTCGCGGGCTTCATCCCTTTTGTAACTTCATACCAACAATAAAATTTTATTATAAAAAACCATCATATAATATTAAAAACATAGTTGAATAGAGGGAATTACAGAGCGAGAGGCACAATGCAAATTTATTTAAGGCAAATTTCATCTTGGCAAAGGTAAGTTTGATCATCAACTTTTTTCAACTCAAAAGTAATATGGACGTGACATTGTTTTTTTTTTTAGTACAATATGTTGAAGAGGGGATTCGAACTAACAAGTTCTTAGTTGGAGGCATATGCCAACTATCGTTGAGCTATGCTCGCTTTGGCACGCGACATTATTTTTTTCATGACTGCTTTACCACCTTAAGCATGTCGGAGTCTTATTCCAAACACAATTTAGGTCAAGTAAGTGATAAATCATTCTCGTTAACCATATGTATCTTTTGACAAAGTACATATCCACTAGCAAAAGACATACCCTTTCACAAAAAGTCACAACTCTTTAAATTTTATTCATAATCTCTAACAATAACTTAATTAAGATTTAAATCGACAACCATATATACCGGACATCGGCGCCCATTGTTTTAATTAGTTTCCGGGTCCTCCAAGTTGAGAGAGTTGTTTCCGGACACATAATAGATTCATTCCCCCAAGCTTGCGTCTAGCCATTTCCCAACTTGACTTGTAAAACCAAAACTCAAACCTCACAACTTGCATGATGTAGACATTGTCCCCAACAATAACATCCACTCCATACCCTACCTTTCCTACCTACATTTCTCATCTTTAATTTTTCTCATCTTTTTCTATCCATCACCCTACCTACTTTCTACTTTTTTTTTTTGTGTGTGTATTTGCCCATCCTAACCTATCAAACTTTAACTTGGTCTGAACTTTTATGGCGGTATTTGTTTAGTCATTAAACTTTAAAATTCTCAATTATATATATCTATGCACCGTTAAGGATCCCACATTGAAAAGAAAATGGACCATACAATGGTTTATAATAGACAAGGACTACTCCTCATTGCCAATTGGTTTTGAGATGGAACCCTATGAATATTGATATGATATCATGATCTTGAAGGACATGTTAAGAATCCCACGTTGTTATAATATAGACATAGCTACTCCTCTTTTTTAAATGGAACCCTATCAAATTTAAGTCTGTTAGAAGATATTAACGTGACATGTTTGATTCCGATGTCACAATGCGTGACAAAGGGTAGCAAAAATTATTAAAAATCTAGTACTACAACAAATTGCCTATAACTATTGAAGTTAGAAAAATCATGCAGCCTGAATTATTTGTTTGTACTCCAAAAGAGGATTACCCAAATGCTTCTTTCTACTTTTCAACCAAAATAATGCTTTATAACCTGACCCAAATCCTTGTTTTTCAATTAATCAACCAACACGCTACGTTACATAACTATATCATTAAAACATATACTGTCATTTCATTTCCACAAAGATCCGGCTATGTTGCTTATTTTTGTTACTTTTCAACCATGACAATGAGATCTATAGCAAGTTCTAATTGGAAAACAAAATCAAATTCTCAAAATATATATAAGCACCGTGGATCTATACTTTTACTTATACATTTAAAATAGCTAAAATACTAATAAAACAAATAATATTTTGTTTGTAAAATATAGATATAATTAAATATATTAAAAAATATTTTCAAAAAATCGTACACGGTTTCCATCAATGTACTCAACTTCCATGAAAATCGCTTACAATATACGCAATTTCTCTTGTTGATTCATCTCCATATCCACCTCGTGTTGTCACTAAATCGCAATTTTTGACTTTGACAAACACCTAACTTATTTTTGTCAATAGTTTGGGTATCTAACTTTAACTTTGTAATTTTTTTTATTTAAATTACATTTATTATGTTCTTACTTTTAAATCTGCATTATTTGTATAACTTATTTTTAAATTAGATCATTTAAGTGTTAAGGATCCCACGAGACCTGACAATAGTCTATAATAAACTTGAGCTACTTTTTTTATTGTCAATTGGTTTTGAGATAGAATCTCATGAATATTGATATCAGAGTCCAAAATGTTCAAATGAGCAACCCATCTAAAAATAGGATCCGACCAAAATCGAGACCTAACAATCTGATGAAATGGAATGAATGAAAAGCAGTTATTGAGATGGGGAAGAAGTCAACAGGGTGATGGTGATGGTGATATTAAGAAGAGATAAGCTTGAAAGTTGAGACCCACAGTCTGTGTGGTTTTTTGAGTGAAAGACGTGTGCGGCTGCTGGGAAATACAGTGGATTTATTATTTCTTTTCTATCCGCAACTTGGGCTTCTTATTAATTCAGGTGAGTCCCCACTTTTCACACCATTCTCTCTGCCTGCTTGGATCCTAAACTATTTGGTAATTAATTAGCCTAGCTTCACTTTTTTCTTTTTTCCCCCCAAAACTTCTTGTGATACTGATTAGGGGGAAGGGAGGGTTAAGGACTGAGTTTCTAAGATGGAATTTTGTAGCAGGGCATGTCACAAGGAGTCCATGTTGCTTATAGCTACACGAACAATGTCGAGCCATTCACTCATGCTTCATTGTGAATGTTCGAGTAAGGCTTCAAGTCAACCCTACCTATCGTGCCAAGCCATACCAGACGTGGCATGGACAATGCAACGATTTCAACTCTCCAACATTCTAATCGAATGATAGATTAAGAAACAACTTATGTTATGAATTTCTAGATTAGCTAGTTAGATTAACTTCTACACGACTTAGTTGTGGGAATTCAACGTGAGTCAATCTAGCATCTTATCCAACCACTTCAACATTCTTAGCTAATAGATCAACTAGTTCAGTACATTAGCTCATTAGCTCTCAAATCAAGTAGGCAACGTCACCAACTAACCCGACCCTCTGAGATGACAATGGTCAAAAAGAATTTACCTAAACCAACACTTGAGAAGCACAACCCAACTAGAAGTGGACCAAAGTACAACACTGAAGACTTGAAGTAAGTGAGGGGACAAGAGTCAAATAAATGTCATCTTTTGAAACATGGGACCAAAAAGAGCCTTTATTGAAAACTTGGAAAATATAAACATATTTATCCCCAAAAATAATATAAAACATTCATACCTATCCAAAAAATAAATAAAGTGAATTATTTTTTCAGGTTCCTTATTTACCCTTGACCCCCCAATGGTAATTTCATCTCACTATAAAATAAAATCCTCCAGTTCCAAATATTTTCATATTCGAACTCAAAAAATGGAACTACCA